AAAACGGAGGCCTCCACCTCTGTTTAATGATGGACTGTCATTTTTTTTCTTTTTGATTTTTACCTGGATTACTGAGTTGCATCAGGACTTTCTGATGATTTTTTACATCCTCTAGTAGAAAAATAACTTTTGATCACTAAAATATTGAGTGTTTTTAAATTATTACAGGGTCACAGAATATGACAGCTGTTATCATGTATTGTRWCTTCACTGTAGCTTGGTAAATACTAGAAATATTTGTTCAGAAACTGTTTCTACTCATTGTTTACATCAACAAAAACGATTAAAAAATCAGCAGAAGCAGTTTATTTTATAAATATTGTTACTATTTACCAAGCTACAATGAAGTCACAATATATGACAGCAGCTGTTATACCATATATATCAGTCAACACGTTTTACTTTTATTTTATTTCTATTTATTGTTTGTGTCTGTGTCTTCAGCCTCTGAGTCTGTTGGTGTAACATCTTCTTGGTGTTCATGTTCGGTCAGGTTCTGTTGTAGAACCTCAACAGCGCCCCCTCTGGTCACAATACATGGTGTAACACAGTGTTGTTATAACAGTACAATTTTAGCTTCTTCAGCAAGTTTACGTGTAATTCACAGCMCTSTAAATGCTTGTATTGTCATTAAAAAGCAGATTTATCCTGAGTGAGGACAGGAGATGATGTCATTACATGTCCAAAGGTTGTGGACACCATCTGAAGCCTCCAGCTGTTGGAGGACAGAGGGTCACAGAGACATGAAGTCAATAAATGCTGACAGAGCAGAACGTGTCCCACAAACATGTCTCTAACAAACACACGTCTGCCTCAGAGGGACAACACAAGCCTAGCTAGCTAACACCGGTGTGGGAGCGCTTCCTGTTGTTCGACGACGCCAGTGACACAAAGCCCAACAAACTGTTGTGAAACTGAATCACCATGATGAAACCAGACACACATTCCTCCTGCCTGTCCAGGAATTAGCCACATTCATTCTGTGTTGTACCAGGCAGTAGCTCACCTCATACTGGATGTACTGTTTCCTCCACTCCGGGGTGATATGAGCCGAGAGATGTTCTGTAAATTTCATTTTGACAGCCGCTTGGTTTTCTTCCCCTGTGCTCTTTGTGTCGCCAGAACCAGAACCAGAACCAGAGTGGTTCTGCAGAGCAGCAGGGACTTCCGCTGTGCTGCTCCAAAGACGAGCAGAGCAACTCTCATCCGAAGATTACAGCTCAGCTCACAGATGCCCTTTCTGTTTCACCTCACCGGCCTCCCTGGCTGCTCAAACACATCCTGGGTGTTTCATTTATACGACTGAACGTCGCGGACTCACATCTTCAACAATAAACTAGACGTTCATTAGGCCGTCGTTGTGGGTTTATCAGCGTAAAAACAACGTCTGACACTCAACCGCCTCCGGCTCTCTCTCCGTGTTTATCCCCTGCCTCTCTCTACCTCCTGCTCTGCGATGCRTTCAGGTGCAGGTGGGAAATATAAAGCTCCACCCAGAGCTGACGCTGTTTGTTTACAACTATTTTTTTCTGCAGTGGTCTTGTAGTGAACATGTCACCTCTCCAAGGTGTACCCGCACTCCCACCCGTCTCAACAATACACTGCTGGAGAGACCCTGGAAGAGAAATAAAAATAAATAAAAACATGAGTGAGATGTGWACAGTTAGTGAATATTTCTTTATAAAACACAACTGTTACTACTCATTGTTTTTTTATCGTATCTTTTTACCACATTGTTACCACATAATGATATTCATTGTTTTTGACTTGCCTTCAACAGTTTTATTTGATAAATTCCGAAGCGACGTGAACGCCACACTAATGACGTATCTCACTGCCGCCGTTGGGAGAAAATGACGTAGTTGCAGTGTGTTTTTAGCATGGAGGGAATGATGGGAAAGTTTCCACTGCTTCAGGGCTGTGTTTATGCGTCAGGCCAGGGTCTGCGCCCCTTATAGTCAAAAACACACATCTTTGTTTTATTAKAACAAATTCCTCCATAACCCACCCCTCACAAGTTCAAAATAAAGAAAATAACTCATTCAAAATACTACAAAAACTAAAATTTACTTTATTATGAAATGTAAATATTTAAATAATTTAGAAATTCATTCACCTCCACAGCTTTCTCTTTTATGAATGGGAAAGAAATAATTAGTTGTTTTTTTAAATTATTATTCATTGGCTTTAAAATATCTGTCATTCTTTTGGTTATGTTTATATCATGTTTACAAATTTACGTCATCATATATTCAATTCAATTCAGTTTATTTATATAGCACCAAGTCACAACAATTGTCTCAGGGCACTGTGCACAAAAAAAAAACAATGGGCCTCATGCAAGAACATGTTTTCTCATCCTAAATTTCTCTTACTTTTGTTCGTATGAAGGGTTCGTACGAACATGTCACGTCAGATTCAACAAACTCTTCTATCTTCAGGAAAAGTGTGTAAATGAGGAGTGTAAACTGATGAAAGTGTATCAGGTGCTCGTGAATGAGGAGAGGAGATTAGCATTACCACCCCAAAAACACCATGTAAGGCTAGGTTTCCTGCCCCACATACCAGGAAGTGTTCATTCATAAATGACATTTCAAAGTAGCTAAAAAAAGAAGAACTTTATGAGTTCGGAGATTGAAGTCCTGCTCTCAGAGATCCAGAAAAAAAAGTCATTTTTAGCAGCGTCAGACCTGCTAAAACCGAGGAATGAAATGATGACTGTTAATGTTGTGTCTCCTGTGGGTCGTATACAGTCACTGAAAGAAAAATCTAAATCATATTTATCTTTCTAGTCCTTCTCTGGTTTTTCTTTGGTCAAATATTTTTAATTTAAGTGCAAACAACTGTGTTACACAGTTTTCATTTATTCAGAAGAAGAGCAGTCGTGCACCATCGCAAGTGTCAGATGCGGTTCTGGGAGAAAAAAGCATTTTAAAATGTCTCCAAACTTCAATAAATGCATAATTTCACTTGGTTTTTAGTTTGAGATCTTCATATTAATATTGTAGTGTTATACAACAGCAATGATAGCCAATTTAATTTAATCTAACGAATTTATGTCGTTAATTATAATTCCATTCCAAGCAGAATAACCTATTGTCAACATAATCATGAAGTGTGCTTTATTTTCAACTCAAAATATCTTCAAACTAATGAAATATAAAGTTATTAATGAGAAAAATCAGTCTAGATAACAGTCGGCAGACTGCTCGTAAAATATACGACAGGTCTGAACCACTCGTGACTTTTGTTCGTATCTGAAAAAAATCTTAGAATGCGAGAAAATTAGTGAATGATACAAATTCTCCTAAATAAGACAGGTGAGCAGAATGATCCAGAAGGGCTGAATAATCTGAGGACTGAGATGACAAGGCATGAAACAAACACTAGATGGAAGCACAAGAYGAGAACAGAATACACAAAAAACACCAAATCCTCACAGTACCCTGCCCCAAAGATCGTCTCCAGACGATGACCACACAAAATCAGGGGAGGGTGTAGGGGGTACCAAAAACAACAAAACAGGACGGAGGGCAAGAAACAAAACTACAAAGCAGACAAGACATGGGACACAAAAAAAGGCTAAGATGGGGAAACAAAAAACCGACAGGAAGGTCCTGGGAAAAAATAAAACGGAAACATAAAAAGTCTTAAGATGACCCTAAGGTGCATCTGAGAGGAGGCAAGTTCTCTGGAGCTCGGCCTGGAGCTCGGCCGTGGCTCTGGAGGTCGGCCGAAGCGAGGCCGTGGACTTCGTTGAGACCCGGGCAACTTGGACCCTGGCTCTGGCTCAGGAGACGTGGACGCTGGCTCTGGCTCTGGAGACGTGGACGCTGGCTCTGGCGACGTGGACGCTGGCTCTGGCGACATGGCTCAACCCGGGGACTTTACAGTCCCACCCGGGGACTCAGGAGAAACTGGAACAGATGACTTATAGGCTGGAACAGGAACTGATGAGGATGATGGAATATGTGGTGACTCGAGGATTGGAGACTTGTAGACTGGAACCAATGAGTCTGGATCTTGAAAAAACTCTGAAGACTCGATCTCTGTAGATTCTGTAGCCTCTGTAGCTTCGATCTCTGTAGCCCATGTAGAGTCGATCTCTGTAGCCTCTGTAGAGTCGATCTCTGTAGACTCTGTAGAGTCGATCTCTGTAGACTCGTGGACTGAAGACTGTAGGCCCATGGACTGTAGAGTCATGGACTGGAGACTCTGTAGACTCAAGCCCTGAGGACTGGAACTCTGATGGTGGCGGTGAGTGRTCGTAGTACTCCGGACAAAAGAGGTCACTTTCAGGATCACAATCCGGATCGTAYTCCAGTTCAGATCCTGAGTAGTCAGACTCAGGATACTCATCGTCTACATCGTATACTCAGACGACTCGAGCTCAGGATACTCAGACGACGATGAAGGACCAGATGAAGGTGATGACGATGAAGGACCAGATGAAGGCGATGACGATGAAGGACCAGACGAAGGCGATGACTGTGAAGGACCAGATGAAGGCGATGACGATGAAGGACCAGACGAAGGCGATGACGGTGAAGGACCAGACGAAGGCGATGACGGTGAAGGACCAGACGAAG